AATCTGACAAAGAACTTGTACCCATTATATCCAAAGAACATTTACAAATCAATAATACACTCAAACTACTAATAAATAAATAGGCAAAGACTTCAACGCTTCACAACAGAAATGTAAATAGGCCCAGGAAAGGGAGTTCTACATCACTGTTCATGAGGGGAATGCAAAATGAAAGCGTTTAGCAGTCTTGACCAAATAAACATCAAGTGGATGAAGCCGATGCAAATGGCAAAATCACCACGGTGTTTGGATACAGGGCAACAGCCACATAATAAACCAAAATAAACGTCTGATCTCGTTCAAGCATAACAAAAATGAACCTTAACGGGTAATGGGGACTTTATGGTTAGAAAGGGGTATACTTGCCTCCCTGTAGAAAAAATCTGAATTATTGTAGACATCATAAGCCAAAAGATTAGTCTGTGTCCCCACTAAAAGAGCATCACAGCCAAGTTCAGGGTTCAATACTCCTGCCGTCAGGCAGCTGACAGCCTGGTTGATGTTGAGAAGAGAAACATCAGACTCCAGGGGGCTCTGCAGGACTCTGGGCGCACTGAAATGCTGGCTCCGGGTATGAGGATTGTGAATAAAAACCTACAACAAAGCCAGGTCGTTACATTCCCTTCAAATACCAAAAATGTAAAATTAACATACATTTTTTAAAAGACTAGGTTATTAACAGATATCAACATTAACAAAATGTCACTTTAAGCACCGATAAACTTACTTAAAACACCTACAACACAGTTCTGTGCATGGCTGGCTTTCAGTCACTATGAATTGTGGGAATCGCGGTTCCTGGCATTGTAAAGAACAAGGTCATGTACAAGGCCTAGTTGCTTACTAGGGCAGCTTACATGCTAGGCTCTGGCAGGCTGTCCAAGCACTCTGACACGCCAAAACGATCCCAAGAAATAAAAGAATAAACACTTCCTTTAGTATCTTTCAACCAAGCACCGAATGAATTCACTTCCTAACCCTTAAAACAGTCTGGCAGTAAATTTGTTTTACAGACTTCAACCGAGTCATACAAATCTTAGATATAAAAATACATTTTTCCCCCTTCATTGTCTGGTTCCCAGTGTAAGCTCTAAGGGGGAGAGACTTGTCACATTCACCCTTGCACCTGCAGAGCTAAGAACAGTGTCCAGCACATATTAATACCTCAATAAATTAGGGGCTAAGCTGCTATCAATGGGCCCTTTCCAGCAGAAACAATATGAATTTCTTTCTGGCATTTGTCAGTGCTTCTTAACAATAACAATGGGCCTAAGGGCTTTACTCCATTAAACTATTTAAAGAAAATTATTTTTTTAAATTATGTACCCTAAGGCACATCATAAGAATATACAACATAAGGGGAAGTATTATTATATAAATGTTTTAATCATTGTGAAATCTTCATCGGGTCAGAAAATAAGGCCTCTAATCTCATTTCCATGACTTTCTAGTTGAGGGACCTCAAGTAGCACTTGACACCTCTCTGAACCACTCGTCAGTGAAGTGAGAGGGATAAAAAAATAACAGTTAACCATTCGTGACCATTTCTTATAAGCCAAATGCTTCATATGCATTAACTGACTAGTATTTAGGTTGTAGATACTATTATTAAGTAACTCACCCAGGTCATGACATTAGTAGGTCATGACATGTGCTGCTGCCCTTGGCATTGTTGCAAGAATGCCGAGATAATGAATGTCAATCCTCACATCTACCACTTTTTTAAAAAACTGGTGACCGTTGAATGACCATGTCTTATTCATCTCTGTGACTCCCACACCTTGAACAGCACCTGGCATATCTCTTCCCACTAAGTACATAGGTATTCAGTGAATAATTTATGGGAAAAGATGTGAATGTACATGAATACATATCAAAAAGTGCAATCTGAATCATGGAGGGGGTCGTTGTATTCTCCCCCCCATCAAGTTGTGTGGCTGGGCAGACTAAGTTGGTGGAAGGAGTTCAGAGGGAAAGGCAGAGAATCAGAGGTCTGTTACCACTGCTAACCCTGACCAGTCCCTTCTTCCCCTGGGTTAACTGTTCAGAAAGAGACCCCATTGTTCTTTATTCTGCCCCTGATGGAGAACTACAGGACTACAGACCGGTTGCCGGGCAACCCACGGCTGGGGGCGGAGTCGGGGATGAGGGGCGGGGTCGAGGGTAGCGGCCCGCGGAGATGGTAGGGCTCCAGGGGCCCGGGCTTTGTGCAGGCGGGAGCGGTTACCTTGCCCGCTTGGGTGGCAGCCGCCAGGCACGGGTGCGTCCCGTCGAAGCGCCCTATGGCCACCATGCGGGAGTTGATTTTGTGGCGCAGTTTCAGGGTGAACACGGGCAGCAGCATGATGGCGGCGGCCCCGGGGAGGGCGGCTGGTGGCCCGAGGCCGGCGCAGCGGAGCCGGTCTCACCCGCCGCGGGGCGGGGCGCAGGGATCGGGCCAACCCAGCGGCTCCCGCTGCCCCGGGCCGAGCGCGAAACGGCGCGGGTCCGCCGTGTCCCCACCCCCGGGCCGCCAGCTACTCCGCGATTGCGCAGACCCGCCCAGCTGCTTCTGCGGCTGCGCAGGCTCCGCCCAGCTCCTTCTGCGGCTGCGCAGTAGAGCCTCTCCGGAGGCAGAGCCTGCATTTGATGGAGTCACGTGTTTTGTTGCTGGAATTTATCCTTATTTTCCATCCCTAACGTGTCTGCAGTGGCCGGGCCTGCACCAGCGCACCCGCGGGGCTTCTCCTCCTAGCACTACAGCTTTCCACAAGTTGTACAACTTGTGCTGGTCCTGTAAGATGCTGTCAGATTCATGAATAATAGCTCAATAAAGCCAATTAGGTCTTCAGATTTACTCCATTGAATTTTGTGTGTGTGTATGTGTGTGTGTGTTTCAATAACACTTTAATAATAGATACTGACCCTTGAATTTCATATAATTTTCACATGTCACAAGATGTTATTCATCGTTTGCTTTTCCCTCTAACCATTTAAAAATGTGAAAATCGCCAAAACCGGTTTGGCTCAGTGAATAGAGCGTTGGCCTGCGTTGGCCTGCGAACTCAAGGATCCTGGGTTTAATTCCGGTCAGGGGCATGTATCTTGGTTGCGGGCACATCCTCAGTGGGGATTGTGCAGGAGGCAGCTGATCCATGTGTCTCTCTCATCTATGTTTCTAACTCTCTATCCCTCTCCCCTACCCTCTGTGAAAAATCAATAAAATATGTTTAAAATCTCTTAAAAATGACTTCTAGAATATTGTCAAAATGTGAATTTTATAAATTCAGCTGAACAAATGAGCATCTTTTCCCCCAAAACCTATCGGTGCATCTTGACCAGTTGTAATCTCTTTTGTATTAATGTCCAAAGACTAAATTTGAGGATGCGGAAGGCAAGACCCGAGCCTGTAGCCGGATAGGCCTTGCCTCTGTGTTCTCCCAGCCCCTTTCTGCCCCACTTCCTCTTCTGCCCCACGTCCAGACCCCACAGTCCTGTGGTGGTTCTCTGACCAGTCCTGTCATGGAAACTGCCCGGGGTCTGAGCTTCTGCCCTCCAGCCCTGTGTGGGGGGTAAGCCCGCAGGCCTCGACAGCACAAAGACCTGGGTTCAAATTCCTCACCCATCAGTCACTCCCATTTATTAAGCACCTTCTCTACGCACTCTTGACACACACATGCTCCTCCTACCCTCACAGCCGCCGCGGGGGGAGATCCTGCCTCACACCCATTTTACAAGAGAGAAAACTGAGTCATGAGAGGTTATATGACATAAACCTAATGCCACACAGCTGGTAGGAGGCAGGACCAGGATGGCAAACCCAGGTGGTCTCCTGAGCTGGAACCTCTGCACATACTGTGTCCCACAGTGAACTTCTGGGGAGTGTTGCTGTGAGCATTAGACAAACTAATAGAAATAAAGCACTTTATGCTCTGCCTGGCATAAAGAGCTTAATAAGAGTTCCTATAAAAAGCTAGTATTATTAGCCAAGACCAGTTTGGCTCAATGGACAGAGCGTCGGCTTGGGGACTGAAAGGTCCCGGGTTCGATTCCGGTCAAGGGCATGTACCTTGGTTGCGGGCATATCCCCAGTAGGGGGTGTGCAAGAGGCAGCTGATCGATGACTCTCTCTCATCGATGTTTCTAACTCTCTATCTCTCTCCCTTCCTCTCTGTAGAAAATCAATAAAATATTTAAAAAAAAAAAAAAAAAAAGCTAGTATTATTAGATGATTATTATTATTATTATTATTATTACCTCTAGATGAAAAGGCTGCCTGTGACTTGTCAAGGTTGCTATTGTAATAAGTCTGGTGTCTTTTCTTTCTTTTTTTTTTTAATATATTTTATTGATTTTTCACAGAGAGGAAGAGAGAGGGATAGTTAGAAACATCGATGAGAGAGAATCATCGATCAGCTGCCTCTTGCACACCCCCTACTGGGGATGTGCCCGCAACCAAGGTACATGCCTCAACCGGAATCAAACCTGGGACCTTTCAGTCCGCAGGCCGATGCTCCTATCCACTGAGCCAGACTGGTCCTGGCTTTTCTTTCTTTTCTTGTTAGCCAGTAGCAATGTTCCAGGTTCCCTCTCAGCCCTGGGGTGGGAAAGACCAACCTAGCCAGGTAAGGTCTGGTGGGAACCAGTTATGGCCAAGAGTTTAGATGCTGACTTATGCACACGCCTGCTGCCTGCTCCTCCGGCTCCTTCTCATTTTGCGGAGGCAAAGCACCCCCACTAGAGGGTGTGCAGGTGTAAAGAATGGAAGTTAAGCACCTTAGGACGCTGGACTAGAGGCCTGGAGGGAGGCAGGGTGAGAGGGCGCCCTGGCCAGGCCTCATCCTGGGACAGGCTTTTTCCATCACTCGGCCGTGGGCGGACAGGCCACACAAGAGGAAGAGGAGCCACGCACCCCAGGGATCAGAGCGGAGCCGCAGGGCGTGGGGCACCAGGACTGTTACACCATGCCCTCGCTCCCTCTGCCAGCCTAACAGCACCCAAGCAGCCTCCACAGTTATTGGCACACAGCGGGTGCGCTTTAAATGTTTGGTCCATGAATGATGGGCCTCTTCAAATAAATCAATAGTCACATCTTAAATACCTCATTTGGCAGGATCTACTACCCCACTCTACAGTTCTCTCCACCTGAAACAGCCCCCGGACCTTTATAAGCCTGGCTCCCACGTGTCCATCAGATCTCTCGGCCCAATGCTGGCCTCTTCCCAGAGGCCTGTCCTGAGCCCCCAGCACTCTCACTACCCCGAGTTCCAATCCCACCCTCTAGGGTTCCATAGAAGTTAGCCTACTAACTTCGGCCCGCTAAAAAGTTCTACATTGATCCATGGTCTTATACTGGTAAGCACTGGGGAGTGGCCCCTCTTTCTTCTCTTTGTTTGGCACTAGGGCACCCACAAGACCATGCTCGAGGTTCTGGGCAGGATTCTGAGCTTGAGTCATGATCCTGGGTGAGCCCGAGACTCCTGAGGTTACGCCTGAAGATTCTTCAGGAAACGAGAGAAAAGATTTGATCTCGCAGGATTCACGTGTCACAATAGCCTTGACAGACAATTCACTCAAACACGCTGACTCATTTCTGTTGATATATTTCTTCCGCACCCTCTCTGGCTCCAGGCATCAGCTTCTGATTTTGAAATATCAATAGAACTTAACGTCAGTTGTGATTTTTGTTTAATCCGCAAATACACTCTCCTTAATCCCTTTGTTGTTAGGATTGATGCAAACCTCCTCCTGACGCGGTCTCCCCCTGCCAAACCCACGGGGGCATTGATGGGACGATGTGACCAGAGCCGTGCCGACAGTGACCTGTTGGCCCTGCCAAGGCAAGGAAGACCCAAGAGCTTTCGAATGCTTTTGAAGTTAGAAGAGGCCACGATGGGATGGGATCAGCCCAGCAGCAGAGGAGCAGAGGGACCGGCCCCTGGCCCAGCGCGCTCCCAGGGTTCGGATCAAAGCTGATGGCGGGAGTGCATTCCAGTTTCCAAGGAGTGTGCTCTCTCTGATGCCCTGGAGCCATAGCTGGGTGTGGGCAGCATCAGACGCTGGCTGAGGCTTGACTCAGCGTTCCTAACCTCCTCTTTGGGCAGGAAGCCACCTCTGGCGCACCCCGATCTGGGAGGCTTAACTTACCACCTTCGAGTGAACTCCTATAGCTGGAAGCAGCGTGCAGCTGGACGGATCTGAGCGCCACTTCTCCGAGAGGGAGACTCCACGTTCCGTTTCTGCAGTCCTGGCATTTCCAAGAAGGAAAGGGCCAGACAGATCACCAGCCTGGGCCGCTGTTGGTTTTATCCTTGTTGTCCTGTCCCTTTCGCTCACCCACCTTCACCTCTTTAACACGGCAGGGTTTTCTGTGTGTGTGTGTTGTTTTTTTAATATGTGATTTATTGCCCGGCTGCCATGGCTCAGTGGTTGAACATTGACCTATGAACCCGGAGGTCACAGTTGGATTCCTGGTCAGGGCTCACACCTGGGTTGTGGGCTCCATCCGCATGCAGGAAGCAGCCGATGGATGATTCTCTCTCACTGATGTTTCTCTCTCTCCTTCTCCCTTCCTCTCTCTGAAATCAATAAAGATGTATTTTAAGAACCTATGTGTAATTTATTATTTGGATAGGTAATACTTTGATATCAACCAAATTCGAAGGTATGAAAGCATACACAGAAAGATGTGGAGAAATTGGGGTGCACTGTTGGTGGGAATGCAAATGGTATAGCCCAGCCACTGTGATACTCGGGATGAGGGTTCTTCAAAAATTAAACATAGAGCCCAACCGGAGTGGCTCCGTGGTTCAGCATCGACCCAGGAGGTCACGGTTGTATTCCTGATCAGGGCACACGCCCGGGTTGCCTCCCTAGTGGAGGCAGCTGACTGATGATTCTCTCTCCCTCTCCTTTCCTCTCTGAAATCAATGAAAGTAAAATATATATATATATTTTAAAAGATGCCATACACAGACAAAAAAAAATTATACATAGAACTACCCAAGGATCCATCATATGGGTATGTCTTCAGAGGACATAAAAATCACTGTCTTGAAGAGATAGCTGCACCTCTATGTTCATGGCAGATTCTTTTTTTTTTTTTAATATATTTTATTGATTTTTTACAGAGAGGAAGAGAGATGGATAGAGAGTTAGAAACATCAATGAGAGAGAGTCATCGACTAGCTGCCTCCTGCACACCCCCTACTGGGGATATGCCCGCAACCAAGGTACATGCCCTTGACCGGAATCGAACCCGGGACCCTTCAGTCCCCAAGCCAACGCTCTATCCACTGAGCCAAACCGGTCTTGGCTCATGGCAGATTCTTGTATCCCAATATTCATAGCAGAATTAATCACAATAGCTAAAAAAAACTCTTGCCTCGTGGCAGCTACTGTTCTAAGCCCATTAACTTATTTAACTCTCACAACAACCCTGTGAAGTAGGTGCCATTGTTAATTATTCCCATTTTACAGGCCAGGCCTTCCAGGCAAGGTCAGGAACATGCCTAACATCATGGAGCTAATGACCGAGAGAACCCGACTTCGCCCACACAGCAAGGCTGCAGGCCTCTGGGCACACAAACCTTTACTGAGCTTGCTGCCGGGCCCCAAGCTTCCTGGCGAGAGAGACGCGATGATGCCTTAGACATAAACCCCAACGCCGAGGAGTTAACGACTGCAACAGGGACACCATTCACCCTGATGCCAGACAGAGAGCTGATCAGTGTTAAAAGGGGGAAGCACTAAATGTCCTGAAGAGCAGGGGAGAGGTGGTGAGGAGTGAAGCTGTGTGGAGGAGGTGACATCTGAGTGTGAAGACGACTAGCATATATGGAGTCGTGGTCCTGCACCAGCCACTTCACATGTTGAGCCTTCCCAACAACCCTATTAGCCCCTCCATTTCACAGATGAAAACGACTGAGGCTCCCAAAGCTCCATATGTACATATCCTATATAATAAAAGCCTAATATGCTAAGTGTCGGGTCTTCTGGTCATCTGTTCAACCAATCAAAGTATAACATGCTAATGATGTGCTATGGCTGCTCAACTGCTCGCTATGATGTGCACTGACCACCAGGGGGCAGACACTCCATCCAGTAGGTTAGCTTGCTGCTGGAGTCTGGCCGATTGTGACTGAGACAGGCCAGACATGCCCTGGAGCCCTCCCATAGTCCCTCCCTGGCTGACCAACCCCCTGCATCCCTCCCAGATGAGCTGACCTGAGCTCCTTAGGCCCCCCTCAGAGGTAACCACTGTTACGTGTTTCTTGGTCTCCTTGCCAGCAGATTCTGTTCATATGCCATCATGTATGACTATGTACCTTCCCTACTTTCTCTCTGTGCCTTTCTGAACACACCAATGCTGCACTTCACTCCCCTCGGTTAACCTGTATCTTCTCCATCCTTCCCCACCAGGACGGGCAGAGCTGCCTGCTGCTCTCCAGGGCTGCCTGGAACTCCACTGCATCGCTGCCTCATGATTCCTGAACATTCGGTCCCTTCCCAACGCTTTACAATCAGATCACCATGCCTGGCGCCCACGTCCTAGGATAATTTCCCAGCGGCAGTGTTGTCTCCTGCCAGCACATATGCCGTGTATGTTCTGGGTGCCACTGTGCCCGTCACCCTCCCTGCCAGATTCCGTCTGTCCCTCTTCCCTCACCTCCCCAAGAGGCACACTACGCCTTCCGGATCTCTGCCAATCAGATAGACATTTAAGAAATGATATCTGGGTGTAGTTTTCATTTGCATTTCTATGCTCGTAAGTGTAGATGAGTATCTATCACTTCCTGTAAAAGCGATTTGTGTGTGTGTGTTTTTTCTTGGTCATCCCTTCCTGCACTGATATGAATGACCTAAATGTTCTGTCTCCCCTACGAACATAGGAACTCCAGGACGGTGAGGTTTTGCTTGGTGTCGTTGACTGTTGCATCTTCAGCACAGAGCCTGGAACCTGATGAACCTTAGGAACCCGGTAAATATTTTTTAAATGCATATTTTTTATTCATTTCAGAGAGGAAGAGAGAGGGAGCGAGACATAGAAACATCCATGATGAGAGAGAATCACGGATCGGCTGCCTCCTGCACGCCCCACACTGGGGACGGAGCCCGCAACCCGGGCCTGTGCCCCGACAGGGAATCGAACCATGGCCATGGACCCAGCCTTTCCCTGGGAAACCCACGCTGTTAATCCCTCTCTTTCCCCTGTTGAAAGGATCTGCCTGTCCTGGTGCCTCTGCACCACAGCCATGCCCAATGGCCCGGGCCTCCTTTCAGGATTTCTAGCTGTAAACCAGGGGCGATCCTTTAGCCCAGGTGCGGGGACCGTGTCTCAGCCCCCTCCAGGGCAGCGGCCCCAGCAGGCTGGTCCTGGGACTTGGCACCGCGCTGGCCTGCCCACCGCGAGGAACAAAACTTCTCAGTCCTTCAGAGTTTCTGCTTTGTCCCCGCGTCTTAAACACTGTGGTGGGAACGGGACACTTCACTCACAGGAGGCCCTGAAAGGCCCTATTGTGTGCATGAGGCCCAGGCACCAGCTCCCAGTTCTCTGAAGGAGAAAGACTTGGACAGAAGCAGGCGGCAGCCTAAGAACCCTGGAGGTCAGGCCCTGGTGAATTGGCCCCGGGCCTTGCCTCATTAGTATGCAAACACATGCAGAGCCCGGCCTCGGCTTCTCCTCAGAGCTCCCTTGACCCAGCTCTGTGCCAGCGTCGGTTGAGAGGAGCAATTTTATTTTCCCTGCCACGGGGCCCTGGCATATACCCTTCTCGCTGCCTGGAATACCCTTCCCCCCACAAACCTCCGCTGAAGGGCAACCCTCTCTGTAAATTGGGTTCCCCTCAACTTATCTGTAGTTATCGCTCATGTCACATATCTGGACTTGGGATCATTTGCAGGTGTGCTTGCTTGTCTCCTGTCTCCCCTGTGAAAATAGAAACTCCAGGATGGTGAGCAGCCCACCTCACACATGGGTGTACACACACACACACACACACACACACACACACACAACTTTATAGAGATAACTGATCCCCCAAGAGGGATAGACTGTTCCCCCAAGAGGGAGAGGCTCCCCAGAGATGATGAGCTCCCTGTCACTGCAGGAGTGCAAGTGGGACCCCGAGGCCCATTCTCAGGGCTCCTGTAGGTGGAATTCCAGCATCACCGACTTCCCAGGTTCTCCCCTTGGTGGCCGAGGTTGACTCTCAGAGGGAGGGGACTCAGGCCCCCTGACATTGTTTGCAAAGTATTTTCTGAATGAGCATCTTTCCCTACTCCCAGGGAAAGGGTGTGTACCTTTCCTCAGCTTCTCAAAAGCGTTTATGGCTCCAAAAGATTACAAATCACCTGGAAGAAGCGATGAGGTCACCGCTTTTCCAACCTGGCTGTGCATCAGAATCGTCTGAGGAGTCAAAAAAGACAGGAACCCTTCCCAGGGTCCCACACCAAGGGCACTGAATCAGAATCCTTACAAAACAGTGGTTTTGGAAAGCTCTCTCTAGGTGAGTCTGATGCCCTCAACCAGGGGTCGGTCTGAAAACTCTAGGAAATAGTAACCAAAGGCCTTGGTGAGTTTTAGGAGACTGCATCCTGAAGATTTAGGATTCTAAGACGAAAGTCACAAAACAGGACCCCGGGGACCCCTCTGGCCTACGGATGGGATGGATGCATTTGTTGTTCACAGGGAGGTCGTTTAAACACAATAAACAAATAAACAACTCTTACCAGCGTTCACAATTGGAACAGTTCACACAATCCAGGTTGTAAATTCCTCTCACGCCATCAGAAGAGCGGACAGAATTTGACCCTCGTTCCCAGATCTCACTATTCAATTGGAGCTTAGTCACTTTGCCACAGTCCCCACCACTCCCTATTGCCTGCCCTCAACGGCCTTCACGCTTACACACGAACTGCCTAGCCCCTTGGGTCACTTCCATTTGAGCCCCCTATTTGACGTTTCTCTGGGAAGTCACAGTTTGGGGGGTTATTGGCACTAAAGTGATTCCTGAGTGGCGATGGGAGCCATCTGCTCCAGGCTGAGCTGGGAACGGAAGAGCCCTCGGTCCAGGCATCCCCCAGACGTCGGTCCGCACTTACCCTCCCAACACGAGAAGCTGTCTTGTGCCTCCAGCTCCGAGGCCCAAGACTTCAAAGCCAAGCAAGCTGCGCACTGGGTTGGCACCGACCCCCTTCGGCCTCCACCTGTTTTCCTGTGCCAGGCAGACCCTTCCCGCCTCCGCTCGCTTCCCATTAAAATTAACAAGCGTTGCAGGCAAGCATCAAAGGCAGGGCTGTGCCTTCAGCATTCCAGGCAGGCCCGGGCTCTGCTCACAGCCCCTCCCAAGCCTTCCTCTCTCTCTTCCAACTGCATCAGGGGCAACGGTTCCGTGGGGAAGGCCAGGATTGGGACTTTGGCCATTCTCCTCTGTTTGATATTTGCATCAAGGAAAATTCCAGAGCCAGCAGAACATCTTCACAGCCATTTTCTTCAAAGCGCCCAGCAAGAACGGGGCAATTATTCTTAAGAGGCACCCTTAGGAGAGTATGTTATTAGCCTCATTTTATTGGCAGGGAAACCAAGGTCAGATGGCTTGGCCAGAGAGAGAGAGACAGAGAGAGAGAGAGAGTCAGAGAGAGAGAGAGAGAGAGAGAGAGAGAGAGAGAGAGAGAGAGAGAGAGAGAAAATCAAAGCAGTGGCGGACTAAATCTGGGTCCATCCAAGGCTCATGCAGACCTGAAGCTGGCCCAGGAATTGAGCACACTCAGGCCCCATGCCCAGCCTGGGGGTGGGGGTGGAGGGTCGTGGCCACCCCTCCTGGTTCTCACACTGCACTTCCCAGACCCGAACTGCTAACAGGTCTTAGGTCAGTTAACCCCCCCACCCCCGGCCAGATGCCACTTACAGCGCAGGAGATGACAGCAGAGGACGTGCCCCCTTCTATAAAACCCTCACACTGCATCTCCTCCAACCCCCCACTAACGTGGATGGGGGATGATCCAATTATAATATTTGCAAAGAGCTATGGGCTTATGCTGGAGAAATCAACAGATTAAAATACTCCTGCACTATGGCTCGGAGTTATGCGTGAAACCCCTCACAGGCGGGGAAGGCCTCTGGGTCCCTGTGCCTGAGGGACCTGTTTCCACAGGCGTCCTCAGACCCCCAGGATTTGCGATCTGGAGGGAACGTGCGGGGTCTGGCCAGCCCACTGTTGGGAGAGCAGGGGGAGGGGGGGAGGGTGTACAGGGCCCCAGGCTGCTGAACTCATCCTCCCATCTTTGGAGGAAAGGCAAAGCCCAAAAGCAACCAAAGACAATGAACAGTTAGCAAAGTTCCTCGGAAACGTGGCTTTGATCCCAATGCTTAGATACCAGCTGCACTTTGGGGACGTGGAAACGTGGCTTTGATCCCAATGCTTAGATACCAGCTGCACTTTGGGGACGTGGCTGAGGGCGTTGCCGTAGAAATCTTAGAGCTAGGCACTTCCTAACCAGTTAAAAGGCCACTCTCTTGCCCGGCTGGTGTGGCTCAGTGGTTGAGAGTGACCTATGAACCAGGAGGTCACGGTTTGATTCCCGGTCAGGGCACAGGCCCGGGTTTGCAGGCTCCATCCCCAGTGTGGAGCGTGCAGGATGCAGCCTATCCATGATTCTCTCTCATCATGGATGTTTCTATCTCTCTCTCCCTCTCGGAAATCAATAAAAAATACATTAAAAAAAAAAAAAGAGCCGAAGCTGGTTTGGCTCAGTGGTAGAGCGTCGGTCTGTGGACTGAAAGGTCCCAGGTTCGATTCCGGTCAAGGGCATGTACATTGGTTGTGGGCACATCCCCGGTAGGTGATGTGCAAGAGGCAGCTGGTCGGTGTTTCTCTCTCATCGACGTTTCTAGCTCTCTATCTCTCTCCCTTCCTCTCTGTAAAAAATCAATAAAATATATAATAAAAAAAATAAAAAAAATAAAAAAAAAAAGAAATACAGAAAGAGAAGGGACAGAGTGAGAGAAGAGACAGAGACATGTACACCAGGCCCCTAGTTTGTTTCATGATCAGAGCACGCGGTTCTGCGATTCTTGCCAGGGTTTCTCCTCTGCGCGTCTCAGCAGCCCAGTGACACCGTAAAACCTCCTTCTTCTCCCTCCCGGGGTGACACATGCACAGCATCGTGTGGGGCCCTCAGCCGTTGCTTGAATGGGCACACTCTGCAGTCACCTCGGAGAGTGCCAAGGCCCTGGGAAGGGCTCCTCTCAACCCTCCTCTCCCCCAGCGGCTGCCCTGGCAGTGGGACCACAGGCAAGGCCTTTGGTTGAGACCGAGAGAAGTTGCGGACCGCACGATGGCCCCAATAGCTCTGGCGGTCTGGAGTGCCGTCGGTTGCTGGCTATGAACCCGTTGCAGCCAGAGGGAGGGTTTCTAAGCAAAGGCAATCAAGTGCAGGGACCCAGGACCAGCTTTGCCCACTTGCCTGTGCCCCTGGGCTCAGACTGAGGATGCGGCTTGGCTGCCCCTGCACCGCTCCCACTGTGGAGTCTCCTGCAAACACCCCTGGGAAGCCCCGGGGCTGTGAGCATGCACCCCACATGCCCTGGGAAGCCAGGGTTCCCTGCACTGGGAGGGAGGGGAGGAAGGAGGGCTGAGACTAGGGTGAGGCAAGTGGGCACCTAGGGCTCAAAAGGTAGACAGGCCGCTCCCAGGTCCTTCAGGCGCCTCCCTGCAGAAGCCGCCTGCTTCCTCCTCTGACAGCTCTGGGCACGCTCATCGCCGCTGCTGGGGCCCCGCTCCTGAGGCCCCCCGCCCTGGGTCTGGTTCACGTGTCCTACCCAGAGGCTGGCCTGAAGCCCAGCACATAGGCAGCCCTGAGCGTGTTGCTGAATGATTGATTAAAGGAGAGAGAGACAGAGAGTAAGAGAGAGGAGGAGGGGGTTGAGGGGAGAAAAGAAGGAAAAAGGTGAACGTGAGCCTCCTTCCCCCTCTCCAAAGCCCTAACCTGGGCTGCCAGCCAACCTGGGCCAGACGCTGGGTGTGTTGGGGTTTGGGGGGGGGGGGGGGCAGGGAGCATGGTAATCGCCAGCTGCGGCCTTACTCATCCTTCCTCAGGGGCCGGGTGCAAAGCTGTAAAGCGGAGGGTTCCACTCTCGCCCTGGGTGCTGAGTGACAGCGGTGGGGCTGCCCTCCCTTTTAATTAACCAGCAGCCGCTGGCCCCAGGGAGCCTGTGAGGCCGCCAGGCACAGGGGCCCGGACTCCGCATTTAGCTTTGGCCTGGTTTCCCAGCCCAACCCCGGGAGGCTGCGGGGCTCTGCTAGGGCTCCTGAGTGGAACTGGACACCAGAAACGCAGAATGGGGTGTGTGTGTGTGTGTGTGTGTGTGTGTATTTTGGTTGGGGGGGAGGTGGTGCTTTCTTAGAGCTATTCTGAGAAAGAGCAACCCAACCTCCCTGTCATCTCTCTCTCTCTCTCTCTCTCTCTCTCTCTCTCTCTCTCTCTCTCTCTCTCTCTCTGTCCCTTCCTCTCATTCTCATGTGTACACCTCAGACACCTGCATTGTTACTTTAGCTGATGGGACAAATCTCTAGAAAAAATATATAAAGGGAATGTGAAAAGCTTTCCAGCTTATCAAAACCCATAGCACCTCCTCCTGATGGTAAGGCCTTTGAAGCTCCTTCGGCGCAGCTGTCAGAACTCGCACCCCAAAGAGGAAGCATGTCCCCAGCCCGCAGGGGAGGAGGGAAAAGTGCATTGGAAAGGGGGCGGGGGCGGGGGGTGCCCCTGCTCTTCTCAACCAGCCTCACACCCCAAAGCCCCACCCACCAGGGTCTGGGTCTGTGCCCTCCATGCTTTCCCAGGCTGGGCCACAGACAGATCTGAGACAAAGAAGATTTTTGTCTTTTGTGTTCTTGATGGCTTCTTACTTCTCCTCTGAGCTTTCTGCCTGAGTCTCTCCTGTCCTGCTCACAATCACCTCCTTCTAAAGATGGGCCCGGCTGGTGTGGCTTAGTGGTGGAACATCGACCCAGAAACCAACAGGTCGTGGGTTCCATTCCCCATCAGGGCACAGGCCCGGGTGGCAGGCTCCGTCCCCAGTGTGGGGCATACAGGAGGCAGCCAACCAATGGTTTTCTCTCATCATCGATGTTTCTCTCTCTCTCCCTCTCATGTCCTTTCTGAAATCATTAAAAATATATTTTTTAAAAACAAAGATGACAAACTGAGGTTTGCAGAGGTGGCAAAGCGTTGGGGCAGAGCTCCAGGCATATCTGGCTCCATAGCAAGCTGCCTATCAGCCTATCACTCCACTATCAACACAAACTCGTAATAAAAGCTATTCCTCGAGCAATTTGGGTATTAACTGCCTGATCATTTTCAGTTTCTCCTAAACCTCACCTCAACTCCAGGAGTGAACCCAGTTATTTTCATTACGTGGTTGAGGTTCCCAGCGATAAAGAAACTTGTCTGGCCCTAGCTGGTTTGGCTCAGTGGATAGAGCGTCGGCCTATGGACTGCTGGGTCCCAGGTTTGATTCCAGTCAAGGGCATGTGCCTTGGTTGCATGCACATCCCCAGTGGGAAGTGTGCAGGAGGCAACTGATCGATGTTTGTCTCTCATCCATGTTTCTAACTCTTTCCCTTCCTTTCCCTTCCTTTCAGTGAAAAATCAATAAAATATTTTTTTTTAAAAAGAAAAAGAATTAGGTTGAGCTTAAAAGCAGGGACCCCAGAGATGAAAACTCATCCCCATATGCACTGCTGCTGAATGCAACCTGCTCCAGACCCCAAGGGCTGTCCTAGGAGCCTGAAACATACAGCTGGGTGGGTGGCCACCAGGTTGTAATAGGCACAGGTAATAATAATAATAATAATAATAATGATAATAATATTTATGTGACAGGTTCTGAACTGAGCACTTAATAGGCATTCTCTCACTTAAGCCACACAACGGGGTCAGTGCGGTAGGGTTCTCTCTCCTTTTCATTAGCTTGACTGCAGATGAGTAAACTGAGGTCAGGCAGGGTGCAGGCTCCAGCTGGCACAAGCCCCTGACTTCTGGCCTTCTCACCCATGGGGCCTGGGGGTTATGTCTGGAAGAAGGCCTGAGAGGGCCATCTGGAGCCCAGAACTAGGGTCCAGCCCCTCCTGCCCACCCAAGAGAGACAGAAGACGACCCTGAGCCAGAGCAGGAGCAGCCCCTGTGAAGGAAGAAGCAGAAAGGAGCAGCCCCTGTGAAGGAGGAAGCAGAAAGGGCAGACAATGGGATGCACAGGAGACGGGGACCCTGGCTAGAGGAGGCTGCCAACCTGAGTCCCGCACGTGCCATCAAGCCTGAGCCTGGATCTCTGACACCTGGGCAGGTGGGTGTGCGGGCAGGAGGGCAGTCACCTCCATCCCTGGTGATAAAAAGCCACCCGGATGACGGATGACGGCACTGCTCTCCCAACCCCTCGCCTGTGGTGTCTGGCTCTGCCGTGTGCAAGGCGTCTGGCCCCAGGGAGAGGCGGGGTGAGCCTCCACCAGCAGCTCCTCAGCTATAAATAGGCAGCCTCCAGGGCTGCTCACTCACCTCCTTTCTCCACCACAGCCATCACCTGAGCCTCTCTGACACCTGGACCATGGACCCCCGGGAGTGCTCCTGCTTGTCTGGTGAGTAAGGATGCCCACCTTTGCCCGGCTGGTGTGGCTCAGTGGCTGAGCGTCGACCTATGAACCAGGAGGTCACGGCTCGATTCCCAGTCAGGGCACATGCCCAGGGTTGCAGGCTTGATCCCCAGTGTGGGGAGTGCAGGAGGCAGCCGATCCATGATTCTCTCTCATCGTTGATGTTTCTCTCTGTCCTCCCTTCCTCTCGGGAATCAATGCAAATATATATATATTTCTTAAAAGGATGCCCGTCCTTGGGCTTTGGGACTGTGCCCTTGCTTCCTCCAGGGAGCCTGCCGAGCCTGCGGGTGTCTAATCCTGCAGTTAGGAGTGGCCAGTGGTGTGTGTTTCGGACTGGGGACCTTTGGGGCAGCTCCCTGTCCTGTTGGCTACCAGCCTCATCGCTGGAGTTGATAGCCTGGCTCTGGAATGATTGTGGGGGCTGGGGGGTGGGGTCCCTAGCAGCAGGTCCCTAAAGGCAGCCACCAGGACAGGGGAAGCGCTCCAGCCCAGGTGCTGGAGACCTGGTTTGGGTCTGCTGCTGCCATCACTCTGACACTTTGTATTTCCAGGCCTCAGTTTCCTCAACGGTTCCTGTGGGAACTTGGGTTTGGTGGAGATGGCCTAGCCCAGTGGTCGGCAAACTCATCAGTCAACAGAGCCAAATATCAACAGCACAACGATTGGCATTTCTTTTGAGAGCCAAATGTTTTAAGCTTAAACTTCTTCTAACGCCACTTCTTCAACATAGACTCGCCCAGGCCGTGGTATTTTGTGGAAGAGCCACCCTCAAGGGGCCAAAGAGCAGCATGTGGCTCGCGAGTTGCGGTTTGCCGACCACGGGCCTAGCCCAGTAGTTCTCAAACCTGATTCTACAGTAGAATCATCTGGGTTGCTTTTTTTTTTTTTAATCAATCTTTATTGTTCATATTATTACAAATGTTCCTTTCCCCCACCACCACCACCATTGCTCTCCTCCACCAGGTTCCCACCCCACCCTCTGCCCTTTCCCCACTCCCCATTGTCCTCATCCATAGGTGCACAGGTTATGTTCAATCTCTTCCCACATCTCCCTCTCCCCTTTTCCCCAAGAATCGTCATTTCACTCCCCTTCCATACCTCTGATTCTATTATATTCAACAGTTAATATTGTTCATCAGATTTTTTAAAAAATTTCCTTGGTTTTTAGATTCACTTGTTGATAGTTACGTATTTGTTGTTCATAATTTTTTATCTTTATTTACTTTCTCTTCTGGGTTGCTTTTTAATATACTGACTCCCACCTGGTCCGCGTGGCTTAGTGATTGACCGTCGACCTATGAGCCAGGAGGTCATGGTTCAATTCCTGGTCAGGGCACATGCCCTAGTACATGCTCAATCCCCAGTAGAGGGCATGCAGGAGCCAGTCAATCATGATTCTCTCTTATCATTGGAGGTTTCTATCTGTCTCTCCCTCGTCCTTCCTCTCTGAAATCAATACTGTACAAATATATTTTAAAAAATAAAAATACTGCCCTAGCCCATTTGGCTTAGTAGATAGTCAGCCTGTGGACTGAAGGATCCCAGGTTCGATTCTGGACACGGGCACAGACTGGGTTGTGTGTTCAGTCCCCAGTAGGGAGGCAACTGATCAATGATTCTCTCTCATCATTGTTTCTCTCTCGCTCTCTCCCTCTCTGAAATCAATAAAAATATTATATATGTATACACACACATACTGACTCCCTTTCCCCACCCAGATCTCTGAACCAGAACACCTCAAAGGTGTGTCCTAGGAATCTATATGTTAACGAGGACCCTGGAGGCCACCCAGGTTTCCGTGTGTGGATGGGGCCTGGGGACCACTGGCTGGTCTTCTCCTCTGTCCAGCCCCACTCACCCTGTGGCGCTCTGCAGCACACCCCGTGCGCCCGTCTGCCTCAGTCCTCACGCTTCTGCTCTGTCCTCTCTCCTAGGAGGAATATGCATCTGCGGAGACAACTGCAAATGCACCACCTGCAACTGTAAAACATGTCGCAAAAGTGAGTCCGGTGACTGGGGCGCCGAGGGCCAGGCGCTGGGAAAATCTGTTCCCTCCATCTGCAACCTCCCAGCCGTGGTGGGAGGGAGAGGGATCAGGGTGCCTTTTACCCATCAGGGAGGCCTGAGGGAGAGTCCAGCCTGCCCAGCGGTAAAGGGGAGCGAGCAGTGGCCTGGAGTCAGCAGCTCTGGGGTTTGGTCCCGGATCAGCCACTGTCCAGTAACCTCGGGCAAACCCTGGCCCCTGCTGGGCCTCTGATGGGCCTCGCATGTCCTCTGAGATTCCTTCTGGCCAACATCCCACAAACTTCCCGTCCCGGGGTTTTGTGACTGTGGATTGAAGCCCACGGCTGGCTCTTCTTTTCCTCCTTCCTCTGAGCGGTGGGAGGGAAGTGGGTAAGAGAGAGTGTGGCTCCCAAGCTGATCTGTCCGTCTCCCAACCCTTCCAGGCTGCTGCTCCTGCTGCCCCCCAGGCTGTGCCAAGTGTGCCCAGGGCTGTGTCTGCAAAGGCGGCTCCAGCAAGTGCAGCTGCTGCCCCTGAAGGGCCCCCGGGTGCTGGGTGCGGCCGGGGAAGCGTCTGTACAGTCACAGGTGGAGGAGTTGAGATGAGCGTGCTTTTTATACATCTGCCCCAAGGAGGTGTTGGTGATGTGCGTGTAAAGTGTTGGAATAATAAAGTTTTCACTCACGGTTGTCTGGTGATCAGAACCCTGTTTGAGCCTCACTCAGAAGGAGCCAGAAGGGCCCACTCCATTGCAGATGTGGGGGCGCCTGCCTGCATGCCTTCTGTCCAGGTTGCTAAGCACAAGCTCCTGCAGCTCTGCCTGGGGCTTTTTCCTGGTGCCTGGGCCTTTAAAATATGTGTGTGTGTGTGTGTGTGTGTGTGTGTGTGTGTTGATTGATTTTGAGAAAAAGAGGAAGGGAGAGAGATAGAGAGGTAGAAATATCAAGGAGAGAGAAATATGACCAGCCCAGCAGCACATGGCTCAGTGTTTGAGCATCAACCTATGAACCAGATGGTCAAGGTTCGATTTCGGATCAGGGCCCAGGTCCAGGTTGTAGGCTTGATCCCCAGTGTGGGGCGTGCAAGAGGCAGTGATCCATGGTTCTCTCTCACCATTGATGTCTCTCTCTCTCTCATTCTCTCTTATTCTTTCTCTCTCTCATCATTTCTGAAATCAATAAAAAATATTTTTAAAAACATGAAAAAAACAACAACACAAAACATCACCAATCGGCTGCCTCTTGCACGCTCCACACTGGGGACTGAGCCCACAACTCGGGCACGTGCCCTGACCCGGAACCAAACCTTGACCTTTTGGTTTCTGGGTCAACGCTCAACCCTTGAGCCACACTGACTGTGTTCCCTGGGCTTTCTTGCTGCAAGCACAGAGTAGGCTGGGAGGACTGGGGAGCCAAGACCACTGGGAACAGCCCTTACCCAATGACAAATAGTAGTCAGGAGGTAAAATAGATGCCCCATACCTTCCCCCTTATAGTGGGACAGATCTGAGACCTGGCCCACCCCGTCCCCCAGAAGTCCTGTTTCCTGCAGCTCCTTCTTCCTCTGCTCTCCCAGTACGACTCCCCAACAACACAAAACAGTCCCCCACTGAGTTCCCTTCCGTCTGGATCTGAGCTGTGCCTTTCTCTGCTCCCATTCACCCATAAATGGGATTGGACCCAGCCTGGTATTCCAGAAAAACGGTCAAGTCTGGTTCATTGATGTACGTGTCTAAGTCCTCTTTCCTCACATTCTTTTATAAAATGTATTGAGGCCTAGATACCAAAGAAAGAGGCTAACAACCCCATCATTACATGAAGAGTTTAGGAAGAAAACATATACATACGAGGCTCATCTGGGGGACAACGAGACGACACGGATGCCCTCTGCACCGCATGGCAGGTGTTGAGGGTTCTACAGGACAGGGCGGGATAGATAGGGGGACTGGGGTGTGACCCACCCAGATAATGGGGCAAAGACTTCCACGCTTGTCTAAGGAAGGGCAATGGCCTGTTCCAGGAAGCAGCCACCTGGGGCACTGGGAAGGGTAGGTGGGATTGTGGGAAGCCATCTTTATTCTGCTGGGATCTAAGTGGGTCTGGCCTAAGGGTCTGGCTGTCTCTGCTCCACAAACTCCAATCCTCAGCTCTTTTGTTAGTTTTTCTCTTTTCTCTCCTTGCCTTTTTAATGTTTCTTTTGTTGGATTTTCAGGAAGAAGGAGAGGTAAATGCATGTTTTCAGCTTACCATGTTGTAGGCTTTTTTCTGGTATATCGCTCATCTTTGTCATAATGGGGATTGCTATCTCCATTCTACAGGGGAGGAAACTGAGGCTCAGAGAAGACCCCAGCTCATGCAAGACTAGCTGAGAGGGAAGCTTGAAGACCATGTGGGAAGATGGAGGGATGGGGGTTGGGGGGAGCTGAAGTGGAAAGTAAACAGACGGGTTCCCAGGGACCTTGCAGAGTAAAACGTAAGCCGGGGAGACAAAGGAGACGGATTTCAGGGCAAGAAGGGGAGCTTTCTCATGGCACAGCTCCCTGGAGCGGGCCAGTGCTGTATCAGGGGGCGGACAAATCACGGGTCGTGTTCCTGAGCTGCCTGAGGAAGACAATGGGGACCTCAGGGAGGCTGGGACAGACTCTGCACCTGCTCAGGATATAGTCCAACTTGGATGGAGATCAGAGGAGGGCTTGGTGGGAACGGAATGGAGGAGGCCTGGTCACAAGACAAGAAAGCAGTTCTGCGTGTGGACTGCAGGAGGCGCTCGAGGCACACAGGCAGCTGAGGGAGGAGTAGGCTGGGCCCTTGAGAATTGTGCCTGGGTTGAGAGGGGGTGTTCAAGCTTCACGCTGGCTGGCTTGGGGACCCAGACACCCCAGAAAGGGCTTAGACCCCTCAGGTACAAATGCTCGGAGGATAAATCAAACCCAGCTCTCCAAGAGACGATTGAGCCTCAGTTGTAAAGGCCTTAACAGAGTGTAAATCACACAGATTCACAGGGCATGCAACTTTTAAAATAATTTGGTACCTGGTTGGCATGGCTCAGTGGTTGAGCATAGACCTATGGACCAGGAGGTCACGGTTCAATTCCCTGTCAGGGCACAGGCCCAGGTTTCAGGCTCAATCCTCAGTGTGGAATCTGCAGGAGGCAGCCCATTCTCTCTCATCATTGATGTTTCTATCTCCCTCTTCCTTCCTCTCTGAAATCAGTAAAAGTACATCTCTTTTTAACATTGTAGAAGTGAAATTAATTTCTGGGACACAAATGTAAAATCTATTGATAAATATGGGAAAGTCATTTATAAATCAGTGTGTACTGTAGGCTTCTAATTTTATATTTGAAAGGATTATATATGCATATATTTAATTCCCCCAAAATTTATACAATAAAGAAAGAATAAAGGGGAGGAGGGTATTTCAGACCCCCCTAAAGATCCTGGCCACCCTAAGGGTGTAGAGGGGTGTATTAGGGTTCTCCAGTGAAACAGAACCAGTATATATATATCTTGATATGACATATATACATATATATCTATGTACATATATTTGTGTGTGTGTGTGTGTGTGTGTGTGTGGTGGGGCAAAAGTGGGTTTACAGTTGTTCATATGAAAACAATACAATCATTAATAAGTAACAATACAAGAATAAACTGTTTTGCACAGTCACAACTGCACAGCTACTTTTGCCCCGCCCCGCGCATACATTAGCACCTGTTATGCACTTAGGATGGGGTTCGGCTCTCATGTCGTGGAGGAACGACGCAAATGCTGGTCTCTTCTGGAGACGCCCTCCCCGACACCCTCTGACATGAGGTTTTCCCAGCCCAGGCGGGTCCACCTACACATTACCCGTCACCGTGGGGCGCGGTCGGGGAGATGGCTCTCCGGGCTCAGAAGCCTCCATCACCGGGGTGGGGAGTGGCCCCCGGTGCACACAGGCAGCGGCGAGGTGGCTGCACGCAGAGCGGGGACGGGAGCCCGGCGGGGGAGGGGCGGCGGCCGCAGTGCGCGCTCCCGGGAGCGCAGATGGAGAGGGGGCGCCGGCGCGCGCCGCGGGCTGAGCCTGCGCGCCCCCGCCCGGGGCTATAAAAGCCTGGGCACCTGCGGCCACGGAGCTTCCGGTCGTCCGGAGCAGCCACTGCACCCTCTCCAGCGCCAGCTCCGCTCGCCATGGACCCCGAGGCCTGCTCCTGTCCTACCGGTGAGCCCTCTCCCCCACGGCCCCTTCGGTCGCAAAGAACCCCATGTCCTGTGGCTTGCGTCAAGGACATTGGGGGGAAGGGGCCCTTATTTCCCGTTTTGAACCTCGTGAAGGGTAGGCATATCCCAAAGGGCGCTGAGATGGGGCACCCCACCTCCTCCCTGTAGGCCTGGCCCCACCGCCCGAGGGGTACACACTGGAACCTTTCCCGCGGCCTCTCCCTCTCTAGGTGGGTCCTGCGCCTGCGCTGGTGACTCCTGCAAGTGCGAGGGATGCAAATGCACCTCCTGCAAGAAAAGTGAGTGTGGGGTCCCCCCTCCCCTCTGCCCCTGCCTGCGCTGCTCCCCCAGTCTGCCCAGGCAACGTGGAGAGACCCCGAGGCCCCCTGCGACATTGCTTCTGACTCTTCCTGGGACCAGGTCCTGGGGAGCCTGAGGATGCCATCGCCCTGGCCCCACCCCTTCCCTCCCCTATTTCTCTCCCCACCCTCCCCCCAGTGACTCATGCAGTAGGCCTGGGGCAAGCCATTTTGGAAATTCCCAGCAGATTCCACTAGGCAGCTGGAACTGAGGACTGTTATCCTGGTCCCCATCCACGCCCCCCCCTTAAAACCTCCAGTGCCTGGGGGAGCCATTGGTGAGTTTGGGGGCTGGCTCTGGAGCTCCCATCTCTCTGCCCCTCAGGCCTTTGTGGATTCCCCTCAATCTGACCTCCCGGGGTCTCCCAGACACAGCAGCGTGTAATGAGCGTGGGGAGGAGGAGGGGGAGGGAGTCTCTCTTTTCCGGGGTGTGTAAGACCAGGGGTGGGTGACCCCAGGGGTCTCCTGGACCCCCCCCCACACACACACACCGGTGCCATCTCTGCTCCTCCAAGTGCATCCTCCCAGCCTCATTTCAAGGCCATGTACCCTGTGAGGCTGTGAGGCCCAGCTCTCCCCCCCACCCCACCCCCGCCCCCCAGCCTGGGCCTCCCCTGCCATCCGGGACTCCCCTGTGTTACCAGAAAGGGGACTGGGCCCCGGGCCAGTGGGTAGTGAGTGGGTTTGTTCCTTCGTGCACGTTGGTTAGAGCTGGGGACGGTGGCACCAGGAAGGGCCAGGGTAGAAGCGGCAGGAGAGAGCAGGCCGGCTACTTCGGCTCCCTCGAAAGGTTACGGGAAAGAAGAAAGCCGAGGCCCTGCTGTCAGCTCCCTGGAGAGGGAGGAGAGGGGCTTGGGACAGATTGGGGGGGTGGGGGGGTTGAGCCCCGGAGGAGCTGCCACTGCCCATTGCTCCCCTGGTTACAGGTCACTTCCCTGAGGGGCTGGGGACTGGGTACCCCTTGTCCACAGGCAGCCCAGCATGCATGCAGCTGACACGCCATGGATGCTGAGCCAGACCAGGTGTGAGAGTAGGCAGGGGACGACGACCAGCCTCCTTCCACCCCCTCCCCTTGTGTGACCCCAGGCTGCTGCTCCTGCTGCCCCCCTGAGTGCGAGAAATGCGCCAAGGACTGCGAGTGCAAAGAGGCAGCGGGGGCGAAGGCCGAGGCTCAGAAGTGCAGCTGCTGCGACTGAGACGAGGACAAGCCCCTCCAGGAAACACGTGTAAATAGTGCTGGGGGCCCAGTGCCACCTCTCCCCGGGGGGGCAGAGGGGTGACTGTGTATCCTCACCCTCACTAGCTGCTGGCAAGTGACAATAAAGCCTATGAATGGCATAACATAAGCCAAGGACTGGTCTCTTCTTAAAGGGGAAGGATGTGTATGGGGGGCAGGGGGGGTGCCTCATCTGAGATGCCCAGTTGAAAAGTGTAACCCCGAGACTTGGCTGCTGTTCTGTTTGGGGCTCAGATGGAGTCGGAGTGCACCCCCTCCGGCAGGCGGCCCCGGTCCTCCCGCTGAGCCAGGGTCAGCTCTGGGGAAAGGGGAGAGCAGAACCCCTGGAGGTTTGTCTCCACCTCTCTTCATCCGTCCCATGGGGCTGGGGGGAGTGAAAACCAGCCCCCAGCTCCCAACGCCTGACATTTCTGGAATTTTCTAGTGGCTCCTACAGAGCTGCCCGTTGTCAGAGTCTTGGCGGGGAGTCCGGGAGGCTGCGGCCCATCTTGGCAAACTCAGCTGCGTTTCCAAGATCACACACAGCCCTGAATAGCCCGTCTCCCCGCAACAGAACCGGGCTCCTTTTCAGAGCTTCTCGGGGGCACTTTGTCTCCGAGCCCCCTGCTTCTCCGGGAAGGAGGCCAACAGAGCTTTTGTTCCCGGGCCTGTGGTCCAGGCAGTGGTGAGTGACAGCACCCAGTGAGCCTGGGCCGGCGGAGGAGGGAGACACAGGGCCGGGAGAGAAAGGCTTACACATTTGAGATCACCTTGAACTCCTTCCCCTTAAGTACAGTACCTTATTGGACCCTTACATTCTAAAAGAATGATATGACTGCTATAACTGTTTTATACATGGGGCACTAAGGCTTAGGGTAATTTGCATGAGGTCTGTTAAAAAAATAAACTGAGCCGGAAGCGGCTCAGTGGATAGAGCATCGGCCTGTGGACTGAAAGGTCCCGGGTTCGATTCCAGGCAAGGGCATGTACCTTGGTTGCGGGCACAACCCCCGTAGGGGGTGTGCAAGAGGCAGCTGATGGATGATTCTCTCTCTCATCGATGTTTCTAACTCTCTATCCCTCTCTCTTCCTCTCTGTGAAAAATCAATAAAATACATTTTAAAAAATAATAAAAAATAAACTGAGGCAAATATCTATGAAGCGCACCCTGTGCCGGGGCTGGAGACGCGCTGCAGGGCCATGAGCGCTCCTGGGGCTGTCCCTGGCAGCCTGGGCTGGGGAAGGAGACAGACATGTATTCCAGGGGTCATTCCAGGAAGAAAGAGCACAGGATGTTTTCCAGCACGTACCACAGGCACTCTGACGGAGCCCGGGGCTCAGGACGGCCCCAGAGGACGTGACCTTGGAGCTGAGCTGTGAACACATCTCCACAGGACCTGACAGCCCACGCTGCCAGGACAGCCTGTTCCCTGCCGCCGCCTCCCTGCACAGCCGCCGCCAGCAGCCCCCGGGCCTGCCAGGACCTTCTAGTAACCCGGTTCCTGACTCTGACGACACATTCTTGGCATCCGAGGTAGATGATCCGGAGAGGAATCCGGGCCGCCTGACCTCTCTTCCTCGCAGCATCCCCCGGGGGAAGAAAGTTCTTGTGGGGTTTTTCCCTTCCACATGTTCCAGGACGTGTCGACATTCCCTCTGCTCCTCCCTCCCCCGCCTGGCAGGGCCTCACCCGCCTCGTGTCCCTGACCCACTTCCTCCCGGGCTGCACTGGGTCTCCTCCCCTCGGCTCCCCCTGCCCCGGAGGGTGCCTCCCATCCTAGCCACGACCCTGCTGTCACCTTTCCCGGACCCCTGGTGACACTGCCCCCGGGCCCCGGAGTTTCCGGAGCTCAGGGCTCGTGGTTTCGTGGCTTCTGTTCTCCCCTGTGGCCGGGCGATGCCTACCCTTAGGAAGCCTTCAGCATGGCTGGGCTCTCTAACGGAATCACCAGGTTCTGCACTCGCCAGCTCTGTGACCCCGGGCAAGTTACGTAACCCCCATTTCCTCCTCTCTATTTATTTTTTAAAATACATTTTTATTGATTTCTGGGAGGAAGGGAGAGGGAAAGAGAGAGAGAGAGAGAGAGAGAAACACCAATCATGGCCCTAGCTGGTTTGGCTCAGTGGGTAGAGCATCAGCCTACAGACTGAAGGGTCCCAGGTTTGATTCCAGTCAAGGGCACCTGCCTGGGTTGCAGGCTCAATCCCCAATAGGGGTGTGTGCAAGAGGCACACATTGATGCTTCCGTCTCTCCCTCACCCTTCCTCTCTAAAATCAATAAAAAAATATACATTAAAAAAAAGAAAAAAGCCGAAACCGGTTTGGCTGGCTGGATAGAGCATCAGCCTGCAGACTGAGGGGTCCCAGGTCCGATTCCGGTCGGGGGCATGTGCCTTGGTTTCGGGCACATCCCCAATGGGGTATGCAAGAGGTGGCTGATCGATGTTTCTCTCTCATTGATGTTTCTAACTTTCTATCCCTCTCCCTTCCTCTCTGTGAGAAATCAATAAAAAATATTTTTAAAAAGAAAATAAATATCAGTGATGAGACTCATTGATTGGCTGCCTCCTGAACACTCCCCACACTGGGGGTGGAGCCTGCAACCCAGTCATGTGCCCTGAAGGGGAACCTAACCATGACCTCCTGGTTCATAGGGCAATGCTCAACCACTGAGCCACACCAGCCGGTGTGATTTCCTCCCCTTTAAAAATAGGAATGACAGAGTCCCTGCCTCCCAGTGTTGGTGAAATGAGAGCCCCCACAGAACAGGAATACTATACTTGCCAAAGCGCTGGATATACAATGGGCAAGCTGTGTCAATAACGGTCCCACGGGTTTAACATGATGCCACCCAGCTATGAAGCCTGGGCATGTACAAAGCATTGTGGGTCATCTGTTCTGGCTTCCAACGGATCATTTGTCCCAGCAGAACCCCAAAGTGGGCTTTCAGGCTCTCTCACCAAGTTCAAGTTCAAGTAGGGGAGTAGAGGCACGCGGGTGTGGGAAGCGAGTGGAGTCGGAGGTCAGAGCGGGAGGTCAGAGCCGGGTGCTGGGAGGTCAGGGCCGGGTGCTGAGGGGTCAGGGCCGGGTGCTGGGGGGACACAGCGGGAGGTCAGGGCCGGGTGCTGGGGGGTCAGGGCCGGGTGCTGGGGGATCAGAGCCGGGTGCTGGGAGGTCAGGGCCGGGTGCTGGGAGATCAGAGCCGGGTGCTGGGAGATCAGGGCCGGGTGCTGGGAGGTCAGAGCCGGATGCTGGGAGGTCAGGGCCGGGTGCTGGGAGGTCAGAGCCGGGTACTGGTTGCACGTCCTGATCGCCTACTCACAGCTCTGCGCCCGGCCCCACCCGCGCGAGGCCGCCGGCACGCACCGGGGGAGGCTCCGGGCAGCGGCCGCGGGGACCGTGTGCACAGCCCGTGCGCCCGGCCCGCCCGGTGCGCCCGCCGCCGCCTGTGACTCACCGGGGGGAATGGGGGGGGGAGGGGGCGGGTGCAGGCGGCGCCCGGCCCGCGGGCTTTGCACCCGCCCCGGCCGGTCCCGTTATAAAGGCGCCTCCGCGCTCCGCTCCGCAGCGCCTCCTGCAACTTCCAGCCCCAGCGCCACCTCTGTCCTCTGAACCCGCCGCCGCTCAGCTCGCCATGGACCCCAACTGCTCCTGCGCCACCGGTAAGCGGCCGGGGCCGGGCTGGGGGGCCGGGGTGTCCTCCTCTTCTGGGTCCCGGGTGCTAACAGGTCTTAAAGCGGCCGGCGCGCGTTTCTCCTCGGCCCCCCGTTTCACTGACGGGTGGGTTCGCGGTGGAGCTGGGACGCTAACGCGGCTCGGGCACCCCTTCACCGGTTGCGAGTCCGGGGACCATTCGCATCTATTTTTCTTCTTGCAGGTGGCTCCTGCACCTGCGCCGGCTCCTGCAAATGCAAAGAGTGCAAATGCACCTCCTGCAAGAAGAGTGAGTGCAGTCTTCCTTCTGCTCCCTGCGTGTCCTCCCGCCCCCACCCTGCATGCCCTGCGCCCCCAGGGGCATTGAAACGGGGCAGTGGGCGCCCCCAGGGGAGGGGGCACCTCCTCCCCCGCGGCCCCTGTTGCGAAAGGTGGGGGGTTTCTCACTGATCTTTCCCTCCAAGCGCTCACCTCTGCCGCCCCCTCTCCTCCCGCAGGCTGCTGCGCCTGCTGCCCCGCGGGCTGTGCCAAGTGCGCGCAGGGCTGCGTCTGCAAAGGCGCCGCCGACAAGTGCAGCTGCTGCGCGTGAGGATGCGTGAGGATGCGTGATGCTGAGAGAGAGCCCGCTCCCGGTTGTAAATAGAGCCACGTGTACAAACCTGTTTGTTTGTTTTTTTGTACAACCCTGACCCGTTTGCTACATTCCCGTTTTTATTTCTAGAAAACACATGAAAGATAATAAAAGTTTGTTGGCTTTATTCTGAGTCTGTTTTCCTTGGAGTATGTACCCACCAGCGCTGGGGGCGGGGGGACTGGATGGGAAGGGAAAGGACATGGGCCTGGGACGGAGGTGTTGTTGTTCCCTAACAGCCTTCAGACAAGCCACGTGGCCTCACCAAGAGGCTCCACTGGCATTGGGTGGATATGGGGTCCCCGCTGGGGTCATAGCAACGTTGATGGCACAGAAATTTCTCAACCCAGAATGCTCCTTCTCTGTGGCTTCCCGGACCCACTTCAGTACCTCACTGCATGGAAGGCTTGAAGAATATAGGGTATACCTTACTTGCTTGATTCTGACGAGGGCTTTAAAATCCTTGTAGAGAAGCCCTAGCCTGTTTGGCTCGGTGGATAGACTGAAGGGTCCCCAGTTGGATTCCGCCACACGGCACAAGCCCGGTTGTAGGCCCTATCCCCAGTAGGGAATGTGCAGGAGGCAACTGATGAATGATTCTCTCTCATCATTGATGTTTCTATCTATCCCTCTCCCTTCCTCTCTGAAATCTATAAAGAAATATATTTTTAAAAATAAAATAAAATCCTTGTATTGAAGAAGCAATTCTTCCCCCACACACCCCACCCCCAATCCACCCCAGACCTACATTTTGGTAAATAATAATTACTATGAAATGGTGTAAAAGATCAACACCACAAGCCACATTCGTTTTTAGATTCGAGACACATTTTCCATACAGAGAGCAGATTTTTGAGATTTTAAAACGCTGCCCCTGGCTCACTGGAAGGGCGCCTTAGCACTGGAGACAATTCATAAACATCCCCAGAGTGTGGGACACACACACTGGGAGTACCCCTGTCCCAGTCTGAACTTGGCTCTGCATCTTTGCAAGTTCCTCACGTAGGGCAGGCTCAAACCTGGCCCCCCCTCCAAAATCCAGCTCCAGGCTGTTTGAAACCAACAAAGTGCCTGGGGATCTGGAGGAATGGCCCAGGGTTCTCTTCTCAGTGAGAGGGAGGGGTGGCTGAGAATGGTTCCCGGTGAGGTATGCACACGCTGCCCCACAACAGTCACTCCCCACCCCCACCCCAACCCCACCCCCATTAGCCTGTGCAGGGTGATGTCAGGCTCTGAAGTTCAGAGCAGTGGCTTGTAATTAGTGACAACGGTTAGTGCCCCCTGGCTATTTGTAGAAGGAGTTGCTATTTGATGTGAAATCAAAGAGAAAGACAAGTCACATGGACCCGGAGTCAGGACCATGCTTGCCTGCAAGGCTCTGTGTGAAAAGGGATCATCAGAGCCAGCCTGCGCCAAGCGCATGGGGTTTGATGTCATGAAGCCTGGTTCACAGCCTGCTTTGCCACAAATGGCATGTCCTGTGCGCGTCGCTGAAACTCTCTCAGCCTCCGCGTCCCCGTTTGTAAAAAGGAGATTTTATCTCTAAGGGAGGAATAATCAATAGCGTCCCGGCTCCAGGGTGGCTATTATGATTTATAGGGAACAGCTATAAGGGTAAAGGCTCAGACTGACCTGTGGCAGAGCCCTCCTGGCACAATTAAGCTTGACCTTACAGTCCTCCCTTGTTCCTAGGTAGCTAATGGGCTGTGGGAGGTGCAGCAAATGCTGCCAAAACAAAGCTTGAGTAACCAAATAGATTTGAAAAACTGGCAAGAACATTGTAAACATGCTGATCACTCCCTCTCCCCCCTCTTGTGTTTTGCTTGGTGTGATGTGACTATAAAAGCTTTGGCTTACAGGCTGGGTCACTGTTTCTTCATCCAGGCACAGTGGTCCCACCTGGCCCCAACTGTATTCTCTTGTCCCCTCTTCTTTAACTCTTCACTGCTCCTCCTCAGGTTCACCCCTGGCCGGGGTTCAATGATCACTATGCCCATTCGTGTAGAGCATCCTTTTCCATCCCACCATGCACCTGGAGAAAGGCTCGTTGGTTTAAAAGCCTTACTCTGGCCCAGCCAGCCGCTGAGGCTCAGTTGGTTAAGTGTCCTCCCATGCACTAAAGAGGCTGCGGGCTCAGTTCCCAGTCAGGGCACACGCCCAGGTTTTAGGCTGGATCTCCATGGGGGTGTGTGCAGGAGGCTGCCAATGGATGTCTCTCATCGATGCTTCTATTTCTCTCCTTTCCTTCTTCTATAAAATCAATCAAAACATATTTTTTTAAAAAGAAGCCTCACTCTGGGTCGGCCATGAAGGGTGGGATTAAAAATGTGCTGACCCGGCGCCAGGAAGAGAGAGGTCACCTCCTGTAATAAGCACCCTGGGATAGGACACTGCCACCGCGTTTGGGTGGACCCCAAGCCTCTCCCGCCCTGTCCTTTCCCCCTCCCGGGGCCAGGGAGACTGCAGATGGAAGGGCTGAAGCGATTATGTCATTTTCCAGGGAAGCTAAACAACCTTTCCTCCCCTAGCCCGTCGCTGGTCTTGAGGCTGGGACCCCCTGACTCTGCTCCCTGGATAGAACACCTAGGCCTCAGCTGTGTTTTAGCTCCAGGCCCAGAGAAGCAGCAAAACCAGACCAGCCACCCCGTGGCTGGCCTCGGCACCACTGCACTGAAAAAGGAGTCCCTGCCCTGGCCCCTACCCACGAATCAATCCGCGGGGACCCGGACCCTGAGCGGACACAGCTGGGAAGCTGCTGAACGTCCTGTGAAGATCCTCTGAACCTTCCTTAGCCAGAACTCAGGCACCCGTGTTGCTGAACCCAGGTCCCCTGTGGTCCCACCAGTCTAATCCCTGGTGCTCTTCCCGCTGCCTGGCACCAGTCTGATAGATTAATTAAAGAAGCAACCGAGACTGGGATGCCAGGAGATAGGCTTTTATTGGAGAGAGGGGTACCTCTGCCGGCTGCTTCCAGAGAGAAACAGGCCGGAAGAAACCCGGGGGTCTACTTTTAAGGGGAGGATAGGGGACGGGGTTTAGGATATTCAGCTCATGCTGATTGGTGGTTAGGGACCTAGGGGCTTAGGAATCGGGGGCTTAGGGTATCTGGCAGGTGCTGACTGGTGGTCCAGTGCTCAGGTATGTCTGGCTGCAGGTGGGGATTGCGTCTGTCCATCAACTGAAGGAAGAGGGGGATCTATCACCTACAACAATATGCCAAGCCAAGTCTTCCCGTCACCTAAAAGGATACCTCCTCTGAGGTAGGTAGGCTTCAGGGACCTCTGGGGGTGGGGTGTACCTGCAGGCTGTGGGCAACACTAGCGTTTTCTGCAAAGGACCTGACAGACGTGTCCATGGGTCCCCCCAGGGGAGACTGGGAGGGTGGAAGAAGGCAGAGGCCTGTGCTAGCCAGGTGCCGTGTACCCCAGAAAGGGGGCTGTAGGCCCAATGTGGGGGGTGGAGGAGGAGCAAGGAGAAGAAATGCAGGTGGAAGGCCAAGGTCCAATTGCACACGGTTCCTCTGCACACAACTCCCTCCCTTTCTCCTCTGTTCCTGCCAAGTCATGCGCAGGAAGGGGAGGGGAGGGGGGGGGGGCTGCACACGAGCGGGCTCTCTGCCTGAGGTCAGCGGCAAGGGGTCCAGGGCCTGGGAAGATGGTGGGGTCCCAGGGGCTAGGTTCCAGCAAGAAGGCCGTGGAGATCAGGGGTGGCTGCCCCGGGTGGAAAATGGAGAAGGGTCAGGCCTGGAGGCTGGATGCCGTGTGCTACACGGCACACAGGCCGCTGGGCATTAACCAGGGGTCAAAGGTGGGGCCCCGCGCGGTGCGCACAGAGCTCAGCGGGGCGGGTGGGACAGTGCACCCCGCCCAGCCAGGTGCGCTCAGCCCAGACAAACACCAGGAGCCGCACGGCTCCGCGGGGCGGGCGCAAAGGCACCGGGTGCAAGAGCCCGGGTGCAAGAGCCGGGGCGTGGCCTCTGCGCCCGGGCCGCCTCTTCTGGGTGGAAAGGGAGCGCGTGGGCTCCTGGGCGCCACCACGCGGTGAACCCGCGCAAGTGCATCTTCTCCTCTTGCTTTGGACCCACTGCCTCATCTCTGCTGGGAATGGACCCCAACTACTCCTGCCCAACTGGTAAGGACCCCCGGCTCTGTCTGGACCTCAGGAGGCCCCTTCCTCGCCCTGAGGCGAGAGGAGGTAGTATTTGGAGCTTGAGAGGAAGCAGACGAGAGAGAGAGAGAGAGAGAGAGAGAGAGAGAGAGAGAGAGAGAGAGAGAGAGAGAGAAAGACAGCAGCTTCTGTGCTTTCTCCCTAGCCAAGTGCCCTCATCCTATTCGAGCATTTGCAGCCTCCCAGTGAGGCCTGAGGTTCGAGGTTGCCCTGCTCCGGGCCATCAGGTGGTGGGGGGCTGCTGGACCAGGACTCTAAGTTGTTCCTGCTGGTTAGAGGCAGGGAACAGTGTGTCTTCCGGGCTGAGGACAGAGGTCCTGGCCCCCAGACTCAGCCTAACTGAACTAACTGGGCCTGGAGCCTGGGACCATCCCTGGGGGGTCAGCCCCATCTGTTCCATGTGGGACGGGGTCCCCGGGGCTGGCCCCTGCCCAGGGGAGGGGGTGTGGGTGCCGGGCTGGGGGACAGCTGTCTCTCCTGCATCACTCATCTCACTGCCTGCCTTTCTCCTCCGTGCAGGTGGCTCCTGTGAATGCAACAACTGCAAATGCACCTCCTGCAAGAAAAGGGAGGATGGGCCCTTCCCTGGGAATCTGGGGGCTGGGGAGTGCGAGAAGGGAGCTCTGAGCTGGTTGGGAGCAGATAGATCAGGAGAATTGGTCTTCCTTTGACCCTGGGAAGCTGTCACTGCCTGTGCAGGCTCTCTGCCTGGCCCTGTCCCGGGCTCAGAAGAGGCAGGCCAGCTTTCTCCTGGTGAAACCCAAACCCTACTGGTTTTGCTAACTGTTTCTCCATAGACCATGCTCTTTTGTTCTTATGGACCTTTGAAGCCCAGGGCTGTGCTAGGCCTGCTGTGGGGCAGGGAGGGGGGCCTGGCAGTCACCTCTGACCCCTCCTTTTCCCTGCTGTCTGCCCCGAGGGCTGCGCTCATTTTGCCCAGGGCTGCCTCTGCGAGGGAGC